AAAATTCATTATAAGCTTATAACGAAGTTGATATCCAGATCCTAGAATTCGTTATATCAAGAGTTCACTGTATATATTAATTTTTAAAAAATAAATTTAATAATTATTTTTATTTTTTTATCTTATTTTATAGATGCGATAAAATTATAACAATTGGATGGCTGATTCTGTTAAAGAATTGACACCTGCTAGTAATTTTAAAAGATCTTCATATGAAACTGTAGTAAATTGAATTAATAATTTATGGAATGCTATTGATGTTAATTTAATTCAAAGAGCTTTTAAATGTTGTGGCATCTCTAATAAACGTGATGGAACTAAAGATGAATTAATCTTTGATTATAATCATCTTGGACAATCAGGTCAATCAAATGGTAGGATAGAAATAGATAATGTAGATCAAAGAGAAGGAAATGTTGATGACTATTATGATATACAAGAAACAAATCATGCTAATGTATGGGATGATTAGTAAATTTAATTTTAATTAAGTAATGTAAATAAAATTTTTTTTATAAACATTCAATAAATATAATAAATAAATATTTTGATTAATACCGGGATACTTCTCAAAAAATCAGCATTTACAATTTAATAATATCTTGATACTAATTAAGGGAGATACTTTTTTAGGGGGATACTATACGTAGTACTATATGGTAATAATATATATTATCATTTTAAGAAGTTAAGCTTTTTAAAATACTTATAAAATATAAAATTCATTAAAGTTTTAAACTTTATAGAAAAGGTCTACTTTGTATTATAAGTAATATTAATCAAATCTTTATAAAATAAATATAAATTATTATTAAGTAAAAAATAAGAATAAAATTTTCATACTATAATATTTTATTTTAAATATAAAAAATTATGTAATGTAACCCAAATGATCTTTAAGAATTGGAAAATATAACACAGTAAAGTAATCTACAAATGATCATCATGTGAATTGATCTACAAAATCAATGATACAATGATCTGTAAAAGTGATCTGTAAAATTAATCAGATCAGTTAATGAAGAAATGAAGTAATAGATCATTAGTCCATAATAACACATGTAACCTTCTAAACTAAAAACTCCAAATAGGAACTTCAAGAAAAAACTAGTCAAAGGCTAAGTATAAAGATGTAGTAATAATTTAAGAACAATATAATTATATTCTCTAGTCTATGTGACTTGAGTTAGGTCATGAAGGTAACTTCATAATATAATAGTAACTTCATAGTCTACTGGTAACTTCATAATATAATGATAACTTCATAGTCTGCCGGTAACTTCATAATATGGTGGTGATTTCATAATCTAATTTCATGATCTGGTAATAACTTCATAACCTACTATTTATAATCTGATAATAACTTCATAACCTATGTATGGGTGGCTTCTTTGCGTTTATATCATTATTTTAATCATTTCCTATATATTATGGTGGTGATTTCATAGTCTAATGATAGATAGTGATGCTTTAATTTAATGGTGATGTCATGATCTAATGGTTACTGCTTTCTTCTTGTTTACATTATAAATTCTACATTGTTGGTATTAGCTTTTCATTCCTGTTTGAATGCTTGGTTACATGTTAAGAATACTGACACTCTGTGCTTGTTTGATTGCTAATTCTATATTAAGAATTTACGCCTATTTGGTTGCCTTTTAAAATACTGAAATGGTATAAAAAAAAGGCGATGAGTGACACAGTAGATTTGTGATTAATTTTGGCCAGCTCTATGGTATAACTCTAGTCGATCTTTTGAGCATGTGATTTAAGGATCCAATTTGGTGTCATGATACGTCATGATAGCATTCTGGTAGTGTTATGAAACTCTTCTAGAACAGTTATGAAACTGGCAGAGATCCAGAGATGTTCTATTAGTTTGCCAGCTTGAATACTGAGTTATTGCATCTAAAATTCTAATAAAAAAATACAGAATAATGCTGGCCATAATTTATTAGATCATTATAATTTACTACACTTTAAGTGTTTTAGTAGCTATTAGTTATCAAATGAATACCATGTATTTTGCTTATAATTTTAGATCAGTCTAATTTATATTGTTATTCTCTATTACTACTAATTACTCGTACTTGTTTACAATCAATATTCATTTATAAGAATTTTTTACCAAAATAATTATTACTTAATACTTGCTTGTTATTTTTCTTACATCATGCAAGGTAATCCTAATATAAAGTAGCGTAACATATTTGTTTGCAAAGAATGTCTTCAGGTCATATCGAAATATAATCTATAATAAATTGATCAGCATTAGAATAAGACACTTCTCTAGAATTTATTATCTCATTCTGCTTTTCAATCCTCTAATAGCTAGTCACATTTTTAAGTCTAGTATTTCATTTTTGAGTTTATAAACTTGTTCTTTTAATGAATCTATTTCTAATTGTATATTTAAAATCTTGTGAGTCAATGTAAGCTCAAATTGCATATCAGAAATTTTGCGTTTTAATAGATAGTTTTCAGATTTTATTGTAAATTCGAAATTTTCAGAATATTTATTTTTTTACATATTTTCAATATTAAAGCATTATCAAAGTAAGGCATGATCTATCTGCTATATTTTTAGAAGATATATGTCAAATTTTTTGCTGTTACAAGTGTCACAACTTCTATATACTAACTTGTGATAGAATCTGTGACGCCTTTGATATGCTTTTTGAAATTATTAGGTTATTTTATTTCTTTTCTGATTACTGTCACAAGTGTCATAAGTAAAGAGTAAATTTAGGAAAAAAAACTGAAATTTTTCTATGATACCTTAATGGTGTATATGTATCATGATATTAGTATATGTATGATATATGTGATATATATATGCTTTAAAAATAAAAAAAGTTAAGAGACTTAGATTTTTCCTGTGATGTCTGTGATACTTGTGCTATCCTTCAAGAAAACTTTCTTTCGTTCTATAATTTCTAAAGAACCTATTATCTATGTCACAGGTTCTGTCGCAAGTTTTTTTTTCTTGTAACACTAGTGACAAGAACATAGCGGTCATACTTAATTTTATCACATTTTGCAGATCATTTTGCCGATCATTTGCCGATCATTTTTCATTTTATCACATATAATTAAACACCGTAAAAATGATTTTTATTTAAGTAAATTAGCTCCGATTGGATATTCCTACATAATAATATACTTTAAAATTTTACATATAGCTAAACGTTATTACCATGTATTATAATATCAAATTTTATCGATATTGAACTAATATTAGGTAACATTTACTAGAGAAAACTGATTGCAATAACATAAAAAAAGTGCTAAAATCAATTTATTATTTAAGTAAATTA